AGTGCAGTGCTTGATACATGGTAGAACTTAATGATGCCTATTCATTAAGAAAATGCTTTCCTGAGTCACTGAGGAATCTACAACACCATTAATCAGGGTGCAATTTTCTCTTCCTACTTAAAACCAATATTCAGTGCTTCTCAAAACAAACCAGTTTTTTATAAGTTTGTTTATTTTATTTTATTTTATTTTATTTTATTTTATTTTATTTTATTTTATTTTTTTAGTAATCCCTACACCCAATGTGGGGCTCAAACCCACAACCCTGAGATCAACAGTCACATGTTCTCCCAACTGAGACCAGGCACTGCAATCAGTTGTTTTTTTTTTTTTAAATGACAAAACTGAACATACAATATATGGTGTTAAAGAAAATAACGAAAATTCATAACTAACAGGGTCTAAATGACTTCAACAGGAAGGCACTGTGAGTGGGTGTCACAGGTATTATAAATACTTCTTGTGTCATGCCCGAATAAGATACAGGGAGTCCCATCTTTGGGGAACAGGAGGTGACATGGGAACACTCAAGGTTAAAAAATCACGAGTGCCTGGCTGACTCAGTTAATAGAGTCCATGGCTCGTGATCTCAGGGTTATGAGTTTTCAAGCCCCATGTTGAGCATGGAGACTACATTAAAAAAAAAAAAAAAAAAAAGTGGCGCCTGGGTGGCTCAATAGGTTAAGCGACCAACTCTTGATACGGACTCAGATCATGATCTCACAGTCACGCGATTGAGCCCCTGCTTGGACTCTGCACTGGGTGTGAGCCTGCTTGAGATTCTCTCTCTCCTTCTCCCTCTGCCCCTTCCCCACTTGCATGCGTACACTGCTTGCTCTCTCTCTTAAAAAAAAAAAAAAAGGTTAGGGTACCTGGGTGGCTCAGTTGGTTGATCGTCCCACTCTTGATTTCGGCTCAGGTCGTGATCTCCCAGTTCGTGAGATAGAGCCCCACGTCAGGCTCTGTGTTGACAGTGCAAGACTGCTTGGGATTCTCTGTCTCCCTCTCTCTGCCCCTCCCCTGCTCATGCCTGTGCATGTACATGTGTGCGCTCGCTCTCTCTCTCTCTCTCTCTCTCTCTCAAAAATAAATAAATAAACATATTTTAAAAAGGTTAAAAATCATAAGCAGCCCCATATCCCTTTGGAAAATACATTTGATTCTTGTTACTCATGGTAGTTATGTTCTGTACAGTCACCACAACCACTGAATTAGCAAACACTGAGCCAGTGTTCCCAGGGGAAAATATAGGGTTAAGCTCCTATGAGCTTCTTGTTACAACATTTTTGTCAAGAAATCAATACAAAACCTTATTTTGTATGTGTTTCTCTTTAAAGACATCTTATTTAACACATACTGTTGGTTCATTAACACTGAACTCACAGCCAACAGCACTTCAACTCGTGTCTGAATGAAGCTTATCTACTGGAGGAAGTTTCTCCATAAGGCAGGGTCACAGCCTCTTGCACACAGACAGCAACTCAGTATTGTTCTTGGGGCCATTTTACAAAGCAAAAATACCAACAAAAAGCACAAAAATACAAAAAGCAGATTAAATTGACCACAAAAAGGATACTTGTTTATCGTGTGCAAACAGAAATAAGAATACAGTGCCGGATTGTTCAACCACAGCTGAGAAATGTGTGTGTTGGGCAACTCAAAGTTTTCACCATCCCACCCATGCCCGATATCTATTGGGGGCAGGGGGTACAAATAAATTTTAACAAGTAGGTGAATTCACAATTGCAAAATCCATGAATAATAAGGCTCAACTGTCAACTTGAAATTTGACATGTCCCCTTCTCAATAAGCCCTACATGGCAAGTCTTTTCTTCAGTGTTTGATGGAAAGCTCCTTTGGGAAATTACCAGATAAAGTCACTGAGTGGCATTTAGGGGACACATTGTGTGAAAAACACTATAGTAACTATGTTGTGTTTATTATGTGCCAAGCACAAGTCGAAGTTTAGTTTATTAATTAAATATATCTTAATAGTTATAGTTATTCATTAAATACTTTTATTATTTAATGATTCAAGTTGTTGCTTTCCTCTATTTTTGATTTAGAAAAGTTAGTTTGGGTGCCCTAGGAAGGAAGCTATCCCAGGTGGTTGGAAGTAGAAAAGCGTACCAGTAGGAAGACTAGAAGCCATGGATTTCTAGAAGTGTTCTCTGACCCCCACCTCTTATATAAGAGCATCCATTGATTCATGCAGAAACCAGCCACTACTAGCTAGGCTCAACAGGGTCAGCCAAGTGGAATCTACTTCAGAGAGCTACATAACTCTCAGGATGACAAAGTGTTAGACCTGGATGGGAGCCTAATCATCATCTAATTGAATCTCGCTCAATCTTCCTTGCTCTCTCTCTCTTTTTTTTTCTTTTTTCACTTTTAATTTTTTTAATTTATTTTTGAGAGACAGAGAAAGAGCATGAGCAGGGGAGGGGCAGAGACAGAAAGGAGACACAGAATCTGAAGCAGGCTCCAGGCTCTGAGCTGTCAGCACAGAGCCCGATGCGGGGCTCGAACCTACGAACCCTGAGATCACAATCTGAGTTGAAGTCAGATGCCCAACCAACTGAGCCACCCAGGTGCCCCCCCCTTAAAATAAATAAATAAACAAGCGTAACAAATATGTTATAAAATCACATTGTGCTTTAAAACGTGGCACTAAAGCATAAGAGACTGTGAAAAACTGAGAACAAACTGAGGGATGATGGGAGGTGGGAGGGAGGGGGGGTGGGTGATGGGTATTGAGGAGGGCACCTTTTGGGATGAGCACTGGGTGTTGTATGGAAACCAATTTGACAATAAATTTCATATATTAAAAAAATAAATAAATAAAATGTGGCACTGAATAAGGGATATACAAACAGACTAGTGGAGTGGAATACATGCATGGCCATAAAACACATACACACACACACACACACACACACACACACACACACACACACACCCAGCAAGTTTATATGGATGTATGGGTAATCATCTGTAGCACCACTTGAAATTATTTACCAAACTAAGTTATAAAGAACTAAACATTTTTATAAACTAGAAAATACAGATATGATATAGATTGATTAATTTTACAATAGTGGATGAAATTACAGAAGAAAATATCAACTACGTAAAATATTTAATCCTCTGTTTAATAAAAACTAAAGAAAATGAGAATTATATTTTAGCAGACTCTGATGATTGCCTACCTGGTGTCCATTCTTTCCTATTTACTTGCTAACAGAACTCCAGTGTTGCCAAAGGAGCAAGGTATCCAATTAATAATCCTGTCTTAGACATCTTTGCAGCAAGGGGTGGCTATGTGGTAAGTTAGGAAAGAAGAAAAGTATTGGAGACTGTTGAAGAGGGCATCCAGAGAAACTTCACAAAAAAAGACACACTGCAGCAAATGCTTGGTGCTCTTCCCAGTTCCCCTCAGAAACCCTTTATCTGCTGTGTGTGACAACATTCTCGTTTCTGGAAGTTCTGATCCTGACAGCTCACACCTGTTACTTTCTTCAACGACCTTTGAGCTACTAGAGTATCTTTGACTATATGTCAGAAGGGCCCGGGTGTTCACCACCCCATCCTTCCCCCTTGCCTGGGGTGGGGGTCTGAATGTGGGAGCTACTTGGCTTTGAGAGGACACCAACCTGCCTGATTTATGCTTAGAGTCCAAGATGGGGCTGCAGCACTCCCTTGCGTGGCTTTATCTTCTTCTCTATGCTGTTTCCCTTACTCTACTCATCAATTTCTCCCAGAAATACTTCCTACGTAAGTCACTAACACAAGAACAGGCCAAGGCCTGCTTCTGGGGAATCTGACCTAAGACATATTCTCAGCTGGCCTGCCCTTTCTTATTTTGTTCCTTCACGCTGCCACCTTTTTTCTTTTTGGAGCATGGAAGAAATGCCTGGAGGTTCAGCAGCCATCTGGCAAACACGAGGCAAGAAGCACCAGGTCACAGATCCATACACTAAGGATGATATAGCAAAAAGACGGGGAAAACCTGATTACCTGATGGTTTAATTAAATTGTCTTACTAGTCCTGGATAGACTTATTTTTGCATAAAACAGGCAACTACTTACTGAGGTGCCTGGTGGGGCATATAATAACACCCGCCCCGCCCCCCCCCAAAAAAAGATGTCCACATCCTAATTCCTTAAACCTGTAGCTGGGCCGTGTTACACAACAAAGAGGAATTAAGGGTGCAGATGGAATTAAGGGTGCAGATGGAATTAAAGTTGCTACTCTGCTAACCTTAAAGCGGGGAGAGTAGTCTGAATTATCCAGGTGGGCCCGGTGTAATCACAAGAGTTTTTAAAAGCGGAAACGGAAGCAAAAGAGAGATCAGAGCTAAAGAAGATGTGATGGTAGAAGCAGAGGTGGGAGGAATTATATGTGAGAACGACCACTCACCTCTGCCCGCTGCAAAGACGAAGACAGGGGCCACCAGCCAAGGCACGCAGGCGGCCTCTGGAAGCTGGACAAGGCGAGGAAACAGATTCTCCCCCGCAGAGCCTCCAGAAGGGAACACAGCCCTGCCAACTCCTGGATTTTAGCCCAGTGAGACTCATTTTGGACCTCCAACCTCCAGAACTGTTAAGAGTAAGTTTGTTTCGTTTAAGCCATCAAGCTTGGTAATTTGTTACAACAGCAATAGAAAACCAATACAGCCATGTATATTTGAAATTTGCTAAGAGACTAGATCTTAAGCACTCTGATCCAAAAAAAAGCAACTATGTGAGGCGACAAATATGTTAATTAACTAGATTGTGGTAATGATTTCACAATGTATACATATATCATATCATCATGTTCTATACTTTAAACATACACAATTTTGTTTAACAATTATTCCTCAATAAAGCGGGGAGAGGAGGGAGGAAAACTAATATACCTGGTTTTCTGTCAATTGCAGACTAATTCAATCCTAAATGATATTTTTTAAAATTTTTTTTCAACGTTTATTTTATTTTTGGGACAGAGAGAGACAGAGCATGAACGGGGGAGGGGCAGAGAGAGAGGGAGACACAGAATCAGAAACAGGCTCCAGGCTCTGAGCCATCAGCCCAGAGCCCGACGCGGGGCTCGAACTCCCGGACCGTGAGATCGTGACCTGGCTGAAGTCGGACGCTTAACCGACTGCGCCACCCAGGCGCCCCCTAAATGATATTTTTTAACTGAAAATGGGTAATATTTTTGATATAAGAAAATCTTATACAAATCAATAAAAAACACTAAACCAATAAGTTGATGGGCAAATAACACATGTAAACAAAATACACCATGAAGAAGTATAGGTGTTAAGAAACGACATAGAAATAGGTTTCCTACAAAAACATATGAAATATTTTTTTAAATGTTTATTTTTGAGAGAAGAGAGAGCACAAGTGGGGGAGGAGCAGAGAGAGAGGGAAGCACAGATTCAGAAGCAGGCTCCAGGCTCTGAGCTGTCAGCACAGAGCCCGACACGGGGCTCGAACCCACGATGCTTAACGACTGATGCTTAACCAACTGAGCCACCCAGGTGCCCCTGAAATATTTCTAAATATCAAGAGAAAATCATTACAAAATTAGATGAAAAAGCAAGACAGAATTTATATTGTGTGTTTCCAACTATATTTTATAAATAAGCACGGGGGCTCTTGAGTGGGTCAGTCAGTTAAGCATCACACTTCAGCTCCATGATCTCATGGTTCGTGATTTCAAGCCCCACATTGGGCTCTGCACTGACAGCACGGATCCTGCTTTGGATCTTCTGTCTCCCTCACTCTCTGCCCCTCTCAAGCTTCCTCTCTCTCTCTCTCAAAAATAAAACTAAAAAATTAAAAAATAAAGACAAGCGTTGAAAAAGACTGAAAGGAAAGAATAAAAGGAAAGGTTTTTGAAATAGCAAGATTTGGGGTGTCTTTTCCTTTTTTCTATTACCTTTTCATACAGGCCATCCCTAAATGGCTAGCTCTCTTACTTTATTCAGTTCTCTTTAATAGGAAAAAGAAAATAAACTATGCCTTAAAAAATAATTGTAACACGAATACAAAATAATTATAACCCAAAATGCTACTTGCCCTAATACATGGAGGGAAGTGTAAGGCCAGGTGCTGGCACAAAGGAGGGGTGAGGTTTTGCCTAGGAACACTGGGAAGGCCTCACAGTGGGGGCGGGCAATTGAGTAGGGTCTTACCCAGGGCCACAAAGCAAGCAGGACGCTGCAGACAGAGGAAGGCACAAGGCCAAGGTGTTGAGTAAACTGCAAACAGCTGCGACGGCCAGAACGCAGAGTGGGAAGGAGAGAGCAGTGAAAGACTAGGTATGGATATGGAGAAGCCTGAGCTGAAAGGGTTTACATCATAAGTACTAGAGTTTGACCTTTACTGTATTGGGAAGTAACTTTTGGCAGGAAAGAGCTGTGGTTGTATTATTTTATAAGGATTTTTCTGCTGCAGTGTGAGGACGGACAGGGGACCAAAGGCAGTGGAATAAGTTAGTTTGATTGCAATTATCCAGGCAAGAGGTCCGAACTGAATGCAACAGATATTTGAGGAATTTATGAGCCAAGGCGAATTAGTTCAAGGAAATAGGGGGGCTGATTTCCAGTGTTTACTGAGCCTCTTTCTACTAATATTTCCCTGGCTTTTTATTTATTTATTTATTTATTTATTTTAATTTTTTTTTCAACGTTTATTTATTTTTGGGACAGAGAGAGACAGAGCATGAACGGGGGAGGGGCAGAGAGAGAGGGAGACACAGAATCGGAAACAGGCTCCAGGCTCTGAGCCATCAGCCCAGAGCCTGACGCGGGGCTCGAACTCACGGACCGCGAGATCGTGACCTGGCTGAAGTCGGACGCTTAACCGACTGCGCCACCCAGGCGCCCCTTTCCCTGGCTTTTTAAATGAGAGGTAACATGCGTACAGAAAGTCATGGATATAAATGCATGGCATGTACAACTCCATGGATTATCACAAAGGAACCCACTCACGTAATCACCATCCAATGAATGGATCATATCTTGGACTATTGGAGCCTCAAAGGAAGTGACATCCACTTGCTTGGGCCAACAACCCAGAAGTCATCTTTTATTCTTGTCTACCCTTTGTATCATACATCTAAGTCATCAGAAGTCCTGTCAAGTCTACCTTCAAGATATATCCAGAACTCAACCTGTTCTCACCACCTCCACTATTACCCTACTGCAAACTACCATCATTTCCACCCTGGACTATTGCCATAGCCTCCTCCCTGTTGTCTCTTACTCCCGTCTTGCTCCCCGTGATCCACACAGCTACTGAAGTGGTCCTTTTAATTATGGGGATTGTATCACGTTACTCCCTGTATCGTATCAACTTCATAGCCCTAGTTCTTCACTCTTCTCTGCATTGGTGCCCTTTGTCAAGTAACTTGGGAGTGATCTGCCTCACCCTCTTTGATTCTGGGCTCGGCTGTGTGATTAGCGTAGCAGATATGACATAAGTGCAGGCTTCAACTGGGTTTAGGCACGAAGGTTTTTGCTTTTGCAAAATTGTGTCAAAGTCCATGCTTCTCCCAACTTAGGTATGAATTTAAGTCTCACAAGATGCACCGAATTGGTCTAACCTAATTCATTCACATCCAGAACTCTAGCTATTAGGTGTTGATGATCAGTAGGCCCTGCAATACAGGAAGGAGCACAAAAATAAAATTACCATCAACAGAGAATGATCACTTCATGGTATCACTATATCACTCTGCTCCATGTGCCTTTCCGGATTGCTTTGCACAGTCTCATCACTGTACTTGAGCATTACCCCAGGATCCCCTGCTTTATGCCCTGGCTAAGGGTTCTGGCCAGCATCCCACCTTTACCCATGCCCTTCCCTACCCACACTGGCCCATGTTGGTCTCTGTCTCACCCTGCACAGTGTCTTTTAGCAATCTCTTCCCAATCTCCACAGCTGGCATCAGATAAAAGGGAATCTCTGGTCTCTCTCACTGTGCACCTGTCCCCCTTCCTTCCCACTGCACTCTGGACTTTATTCAGCTGCCCATTCCATCTTTGCCTCATCCTGGAAACTGACCACTTAGCATCATCTTCTTGGCTAACTTTGAATCCCCTAGAGTCATAGTTCAGATCAAAACAATCTCTTTTTCTTCTGTTTTTTTTTTTTTTTTTTTCCCCTCACTGCATCATTTATTTGGAAAAGGAAACTTATCCATTAGGTACAACAGCATAGTACCTACAGGTTCTCAAAAAATGTTTTAATGTTAATTTCTTTCAAAACTAGAAGAAAAAAGAAAATAGTAATGAAGATATAACAATGAATCCAATCTGTATTATATTCATATTTGTACCCTTTATTTGTAAAATTCATACAATTTTATTTAAAAAATTTTTAATGTTTATTTTTGACAGAGAGAGAGAGACAGAATATGAGCAGGGGAGAGGCAGAGAGAGAGGGAGACACAGAATCTGAAGCAGGCTCCAGGCTCTGAGCTGTCAGCAAAACCAGATGTGGGGCTCGAACCCATGAGCCACAAGATCGTGGCCTGAATCAGAGACGCTCAGCCAACTGAGCCACACAGGTGCTCCTAATCTCAGTTACTTTTATGTATTTTTTAAGTTTATATATTTACTTTGAGAGAGAGACTGAGCAAGTGAGTGGGGGAAGGGCAGAGAGAGAGGGAGAGAGAAGAATCCGGAGCAGGCTCTGCACTGACAGCATGGAGCCTAATGTGGGGCTTGAACCCATGAACCATGAGATCATGACCTGAGCCGAAATCAAGAGTCAGATGCTCAACCAACTGAGCCACCCAGGTGCTCCTAATCTTAGTTACTTTTAAATGAAGGAAGGGATCCACAAAGGCAAAAGTGGCTAAGGCAAGCAAAAGTCATAATAGGATCCTGGTTGCTTTTGAGTATGTTGTTACCTTTTGTGGGTATATGTGTGCTTCAACTTAACTGTAAACTCCTTACAAATTTGTGTAATCTTTTTCACATACTTGTTTTCCCTAGAGAAACTGTCTCTTTGTTAGAAACTTGTTTTAATTGGCTAACCAAACGTAACATGCTCCCCACAATATAGAAAGCGCAGTAGTTGGTTGCATTTTCCTTTTCCCATTCTAGGGTCAGAGCCACAGATGGTAGACTGAGTGGGCCCTACATGGTTGCTAAATCTACATGAAGACAGTAGAGATGACCCAGTGTCTTTCAATCAGTCTTGTGATTGGAAGTTCACAATCAGGTGAGCATTCTCACGTGTTATTAGAGGCAAATGAGAGGAGGCAGTAGGTATTTGCTCATTCATTTATTCATATGATCATATAGTAGAATTCTGGCTCCTTTTCTCTCACTAGTTATGTGCCCTAGGCAAGTAATTCAAACTCTCTTTGCCTTAGCTTTCTGAACTAGAAGCTGGAGAATAAGTGACTATTAGCTTCAGAGGGCCATGATGAAGAATAAGTGAGATAATCTACATCAAGGCCTACAATGGCACCTGAAAAGCATTCTAGAAAGCTCTCATTAACTGGACAAAAATTTGAGTGCCAACATGTTTATTAAATTGATGCACGTCAACGGAATGAACTAATAGTGATCAAACATCCAACGGCCTGGTCTTGGGTTCTTTTGCTTCCCAGCTCTCCTCAGGTGAGCACACAAGCTGCTGGAAGCTTACGTATGTCATTCTCACCCAGCTGCATAAATCAAGCGTATTTGTCTTCACTGGCCTTTGGTGGAATGTAGGCACCTGGAACGTATCTTACCCTGCTGAGTATTTGCTGACCAAGGAGAGGATTTGTCAGCATCCCTGTGGGTTACAAAAGAAGTATCCTGATGGTTGGGGGGGGGGGGGGGGTGGTTAGGGGATGGTTAGGGAATGACTGGAAAGGCCACCCTCTGGTCTTACCAGCCCCACTTTTGCCTCCACTTCTCCACAGGGCAGCAGATTGATCTTTTTGAAGGTGTGCATTAAATCACATCACTTTCCTGATTATCCCTTTAAAGGCATCTCTTTGAGTTTAAAGTGCAAATTCAAAATGACACAGCAAGCCCTCCAACCTCTACCCCAGTACCCCTCTCCATCTGATCATTCCCATTTTCCCTCCAACTCCAGACTTGACCTTAGTTTTTCAGCTCCTCAAATAGCATGTTCTCTTTATCTCACAGACCTCCTACCTGCCTCCCCCTTGGAGTTCCCTCTGCCGACAGCCATTTTCTCTTTTCTCTTCATTGGCTAAATCCCACCCCACTGCTGAGAAATGACTCTGACACGTAGACCAGATTAGATGCGCTGGCTTTGCTCTCCTGCAGCATCTAGGGTTTCCCCAACCAGCATTGCAGTCTATTGTGATTCTCTGTTGAATGCCTGTCTTTCTCAACAGAGTGTAAGCTTTTTTTTTTTTAAAGATTTTATTTTTTTAAGTCATCTCTTCACCTAACATGGGGCTCAAAATTCAACCCCAAAATCAGGAGTTACACACTCTACTAACTGAGCCAGCCAGGCACCCCTCAGAGTGGAAGCTTTATGGGGCTACCACTATACCTGTCTTGTTCATGACTGTATCCTCAGCATGAACAAGACAGGTATAGGACGAACCCAGTGCTTCGTCCATAGTATCTCTCAACACGTATTTGCTGACTAAAAAATAGAATGAATAAATTAGAGAATAAAGTCCTAAGGGAGAAAACCCAAAAAAAAAAAAAAAAAAAAAGAATCTCAATGCCAAGAATCAGCCCGCACCCATTAAAGCAACACAAGTTGGGGCCAGAGAATAATAGAGTTATATGGGTAACCCCTCTATACCTCAGTTTCCTCATCGGTAAATCAGGGATACTAAAAAACCTATCTTAGAGGGTCGTTGTGAGGATTGTCAGATAATAGAAATAAAGCTGGCATTGTATGTGATTGTTATTTTTGTTATTCACAAAAGGCATGTTTCCTGGGTCATGTACTTCGTTCCACACAGTAGATGCAGAGACAGTTTACTGAAACGCCTGTGCAGGAAGGGCTATTTGCGGACTGGTGACTTTCTGGTGTCACATCCTAGGAGGACATACAGCAAGAATGGCTGGAGCTGCTACTCCCTGGAGTGTCCTGTTATCTATAACATGGTACAGATTAGAGAATCATGACCCTGCTCTGTGGAAATGCATATAACCCACTGCTACATTTTCAGGCCATCTGGAGAACTGGGCCCAATGAGTATTCCATCTTTATCCTCTCTAGTCCCCAAGAATAACACATCAAAGAGCGTGTTTGCATCCCTGCAATAGATAACAGCACTGCCATAAGCTTCAGGGTCCACACATGCTACAGATAGAATGAATTAGTAATTTCACATATTTATAAAATATGAATTAACCCAAGAAATACGTAACTCTAAGTAAAATTTCTGTTTTTTTAAAACTGAGCAGAGAAAGGCACTTTGATAAATGAAAGGCTAGTACATTTTCATTATATAGTATCACCAAATTGGCACTTATCACAAGCAACACATCACTGTTCTCAGATATATAGACGTCGACACAACAGAAGCATCAGGTTACTGGATGGGGGGGGTGGGGGGGAGTCGGGAGGGGAATCCAGACAACTGATTTTTTAAATTATATTTGATTATTTGGCTTTTTTTTAACAATAGAAAAACAAGTAATATGATCAGTAAGAATTCTAGAGGCTCTAGTACATTTATATAAGCACAGTAAATTACTTGTAAAAACCATGGAGCATTTACCTTTGTCTTTGTGTATGATACGCTATGTCTGTGTGGAACCCAGTTTGCTTTGATGGTAAACAGCTCTTCTTTCTGAAACCTTGCCTTCTCCTCCTCTGCTCTGTTGAGAGGTTCTCTTAATAGCCGAATTGGTTTTCCTGGAAGAAGAAAAAGAAAGCAGTGTGAGAAAAGTATGTGTTAGACTTCTTCCCTTTACTGTAGTGATAATTTACATTCATAGTCAAAGATGTAAAGATCCATACATCAGCTTTGTAAAGAAGTTGTAAAAATGTAAAGCAGTATCCTGTATTAAATATACCATAGCAAAGAAAAAATTTGTCAGTCTACTCTACAATGACATAATATACCAAAAATCAACCTTCTCTCTCCTCATGTCCTGGATCCTGAAACAACAATATGTATATCTGCAAGAGTGCTATAAGCATGTGGATTATTTATTACTGGGTTTGGGGATTATTTTGTTGCTAAATAGGCTTGAGGGGGGACTATGCATTATCTATGAGATGTTTCCAAACATTATCAAGGAAACATTAGAAAAGAGAGCAACTTTGTCTACTTCCTCATAAAGAATTTTCCATTCAGAACCTGAAATAATACCATATTATTGTATATAATAATATAAATACAAATAGATATAAATATACACACACAGGATCTAAAAGCACAATAGAAAAAAAAATTTTTTTTTAAAGAAGAAAGTATTAGCATTATCTCCAGGTAAAGAAATTTGTGAGCTGAGATGGAAGACCTTTATATGTAAAGCCAAGAATGCTTGTTTCCATATTGCCAAATGTGTCCAGTTTTGCAGAGATAATAGCATTGACTGAAAAATGTTAATTACAATAAATCTCCCAGAAACACCCTAAACTAGAATCTCTCCCTCTAGCCCAGGATGGTCTGTAGAGCAGACCAAGGAGCTCACCCCTGCCTTCCACTCCTGCTGTCTAGCCTTTTTTGAATGCTTCCAGGTAAACTAGAAAATTTCCCTTTGGCATCCAGAAGGACCCAAAGTTACCCTTAATGGAAACTCCCTCAGGACCCCCACAACCACAACCTCAAACAACCGGCCAGAGATTCACCCAAAATCAGGCTTGAGAGCTCTGTCCCAAGTGGGGCCACCCGGTCTCTTGGCAATCCCCACCTAGACTCAAACACCGTAGCTACACACAGAGCTACCTGAGAGAAGGGAAGAGATTCTTCCTGCTCCACACTCCTCCAACCTCCATGTGTATCTGAACCCATTCATCCACTAACACACTTTGGGAAAACGTATTGAGTCCAGAATAAAATACCAATGAATATAAAGAGGGGAGACTGGAATAGTGCATGGTATTGGTACTTGCCAAAACTCTTATTACTGAAACCTCTCCCCAGACCTGTTCCTTCGCAGCATAAAAAATTATACTGCTAAATTCCAAGCTGTGATCCTGAAGGATATGTTGTATATAAAGCCTATTTGAAAACAGGGAGGATGAGAGATGGCCCATATGTAAAAACTATCTTTTATTAGAAATTTCTATTGCACTAAGAGCTCTGTGTGCATTATCTCTAGAAGTTTCTATGATCATTCCATTCTACAGGGGATGAAACTGAAGCTCAGAGACATTAAGTAACTTGCCCAAGATTACATAGCTAGTAATATCTGAGTTAGGTTTGAACACAGATTTTCAAGACCCTTGTTTTTAATCACTAACCTAAACCATACTGCTTATCTTTATAGATTAGGCAAATGTGGACAGTATGAAGAAGAATCCATTTGTTGAGTTAACAAACAATACTTTTACCACAATACATGACAACCTTGTCAACAGTGTTTGAAGGAAAATCATTAGAAGAACATAAAGAAATGTTAGTTTGCCTTTATATTGTACACACACAAACATAATACACACTGTGTTTAAATTAGTGAAACCATGCAAATACAGGAAAGCACATTTGGGGCAGAAAGGCTGTATCATGTAATCAAATGATCTGATTCTGTGGTTATTAGGGTTTTCCTCCAGCCCTGGCAAGAACCTACATGGTTAACCCTAGAGGCTATAAAGAGCAAGGTTAATCAAAGAACAATACTAAGTGCAGTGTAGTCTCCTGACTTGATTCTGGAACAAAAGAAAAAATGCCATGAATGGGAAAACTCGTGAGACTTAAGTTTAGTTAAAAGTAACATACCAACGTTAACTCCTCAGTTTTGACAAATGCCCAATGGTTATTTAAAATATTAACAGTAGGACAAACTGGGAGAAGGAAACACAGGAACATTACACTATCTTTGGAATTCTTCTGGGTATCTAAAATCATTTCAAACTAAAAAAATCAGTTTAAAAAAACCGAAGGGGAGCCTGGGTGGCTCAGTCGGTTAAGCATCCAGCTTCGGCTCAGGTCATGATCTCGCAGTTCGTGAGTTCAAGCCCTGTATCGGGCTCAGTACTGACAGCTCAGAGCCTGGACCTGCTTTGGATTTTGTGTCTCCCTCTCTCTCTGCCCCTCCCCCACTCGCACCCTGTCTCTATCTCTCTCTCTCCCCAAATCAAATATTTTAAAATTTTTTAATAAAAAAAAACTAAGTAAAATTTAAATGTAAAAATAAGAGAGAAAGAGAAGACAGCACAATGCTAGAAACCAGGAACTCATCTTGCTGGCCTCTTATATCGAAACAGAAAAACCATGCAGGATAATTTTGCAAATTATTAATTTGGTTATTAATATGGTCACACAGATGCAAAATTATTGAAAGTATATTTAATAAAGAGAAAGGTGATTCTCAAAGACCAGAAATATGCATCAGTTAAGCCCAAAGCTTGCTTTTTCTGAGAAACTCTCTGAGGAGCTTACTCTCTTGCTAGTACTTCATTAGCAGACATTCCCTTTACTGGAGTGAGTATTAAAAGAATCTGCTACTAGACACAAAGGAAGACTTGAAGAAAATAGCAAAAAATACCATGTTCTTGGTCAAAGACTTAACATCCTAAAATTCAGTTCTCCCTATGTCAATCTGTAAACTTGACGTGTTTCCAACAAAAAAATTAATAATTTTTGTGGGACAAGTGGATAAGCTGGTTTCAACGTCTGTAAGCAAGCAAGAATAGCCATGAAAATCTGGGGGGAAAGGTCATACATAGGAGAGCA